GCAGCCCCCGGACCCTCTGGGACATGTGACAGCAGAAGGTGCCACGAACGCACAGGGGACGCTTCTGCATTCACCACCCTCCGTGACAGTGCCAGGCTCTGCCGGGGGACAGTGGAGCTCCAGCAGCAGCCTGCTGGGATGGAGGGCCACTGGGACAGCCCTCGTGCAGAGCCAGAATGACACTGTCCAGCTGGGTGACAGCAGCCCAGGGACCCTCCCCAGCACCGTGCTGGCCTCTGACAGCTCAGGAACAGGGACAGCAGGGACGTCACCGTTTGCTGGGGGGCTGCAGAGGCTGCTGGCCCCCACAGGGACGCTGCAGGGGATGCTGTCAGGAGGGCAGGGCTTTGCTCCCCACCCACGGGAGGGTCCCCGCTCTGCCCCTCAGCCCTCTGCGCTGTCCCCTGGGCCTGGTGCGAGCCCTTTGGCCAGCACAGCCTGGCCAGCCGAGGGGACGGGCCCAGCCTCGCTGCCTGCCACACGCAGGGGCTCAGCTCTGCCTCTCCCCACCTCCATGGCCAGCACCCCAGGGGTGACATCTCCCGGCCAGGGAGGAGCTCTGGACCTGACCACAGGGGTCTTGGGCCCACCTGACAGAGGGGGTGCCCCTGAGCACGGTCACATCCCCCTGAGCCCGTCAGCCATCCCAGGGCAGCCCCCTGTGCCCCCAGCCCCTGGCAGCCCTGCAGTGGCACAGGGTGGGGTGACACACACCAGTCCTGGGTCCCCCCACATGTCCCTGTCCCCACAGTCTGCCCCAGCCAGTGGGTCTGCAGTGACCCTGCTGTCAGCCCCACTGCCTTCCCCAGGGACCAGCTGGGGCGTTCTGGGGTTCAGCCCCACTGTGGGCACCCCTCTGGGGGACCCCTCCCCAGGGCTGCCCCACTCCAGCCCAAAGGTGGGTCCTGCTGAGAGCCTTCCATCCCTGGGGGGGACCCAGGTGGGAGTGGGCAGCCTGGCACCCCCCTCAGCACCGGGGCCTCCCCAGCAGCCAGCTTTGTCCCAGCCTGCACCTTCCCCAGGACCCACCACTGCTGTTGGTGTCACCAGCGCTGCTTCCACTGCCACCATCACAGCTGCCACCAGCCCAGAAGGGCTCTGGGACACAGGGACGGCCACAGCAGAGCCACATCCTGCTGTACTGCAGAGGGATGTGCAGGGGGTGACCTGGGCATCCCCAGCTCAGGTGCCCGCTGTGATGC